TGAAAATATAAACATTCAGTGATATTTTCATAATTTTATGGTTCTACAGGTATTCGTTTTTTAATTACAAAATCGCTACATGAGAGAGAAATCGAGTGAATATCCAATCTTAATAAAAATAAAGCTCGCATAAAAATGTAATTTCATTTGCTTGTTGACATTTTTTTTTTGATAAAGGTAGAAAAACTTAGGAATCTTGTAAGTAATACATTTTCAAATCTTAGATTTAAATAGAAAAAGGTGGGCAAGTGGATGTCGCTCTGCTGTACAGTAGGTTACAAGTGGGGCACTTTATAATGGATGGTATTAAATTTGAATTCAATGATATAATATCATTGTATAAGAAAAACGATTCTGAGCGGTGACGGTATGTCAGTCTATGTATAAGACATATTATATACATATCTATGGTATTAAACAAAAAATTGACCTATAATAGGTACCTATAATAAATTACAAACTAATCATATCACAATATCCATTAGATACTTATAACGCGTTATACATCAACAAAAACCGTGATACTATCATAGATATATAATAGTACACTTTAGAAGTTTCAAGTACCCACGAATAATATTATTCAATCAAAACAAAATAACTAAAATCGTAATTCTTGGTTTAAATATGAAATTTTGTCTAAATTTGAAATTAAAATGTCTGTAAAAAATAAGTGTGTTTATATATTTATTAGATTTTTTGGTTACAGTATGAATTATTTAAGAGAATCTTTGTTTTAAATTTTCAACTCTTAGTTATAAAAACTGAACATTTTATAATTTTTAATTCCAACGATTGATAATTTTATAGATTTTGATAAATTTTGTCAAAATTCCAACTTTAAATGCTTATAAAAAAAAATAGTGCCTATGTATTTTTAATATTTTTCAACTGCTATTGTAACAATATATCAGGAGCCTTGTATGAGCATTTTTAGTTTTTGATATTTCACATTTTCTTGCTTGAAAATGAAAATTTCGAAAAATCGGAAATGCTTAAGCACAGATAATGTTCATACCTAAATGTTTTCAATGCTTATGTTAACATCAATACATCTTAATATTGTAATATACTAATATCATATTAAATAATTGTAATTTGTAGATGTATCAAAAATATAATGATTCTACAAAAATCAGTCATATTTATTAATTTCTGATAGGTTAGGTTAGGTACTGCCATTAGGTATTTGGCGCATTGTAAATTGCGAGTCAAAACTTTTAACTTCATGAAATAACTCGTGAAATAAGTAATTACTAATTAGTAATGAACATAATATTAAATATTATTATGCGCGATATGGCATTGTGATTTGTGGCACTGCAGCGGTGCAGCCTGCGTGGCTGCGCCCACCACCCACCACAGTATAGAGTAGTATAGACTACTACTAGCGATTACAACGTTATCCGATCTAACTAGCCAAGCGTCCGTAGCGCCTTGTAGCGGCACCCGATTATTACCACGCCGCCGAAAACACGGCCAGTGAGCAATCTATAGTATTTATAATCAATGGTAATACAATAAATCAAACCGAACAATTATACAATAATATTACGGAAAAGGAATAAAAACTATACGAAAAAATGTCAAAAATACAAAACAAAACAAATGATATATTAGATTTACTAATGAAAAATGAAATACATAATTTATACACAATAATTATAAATCAATATTCCTACGAAACAGAAACATTGGGAAAAATAGTAACCGCTGCTAGAGAAGGTATGATACACCCAGGTCTTATGACACCGCAAGAACTAGCATCAACATTATAAACAATAGAACAAAATATAAAGAAAATATATAGTATTCCGATGGGAACTAAATGAATTTCAAAAAATTACAAAAACAAGAATCTACTATTCGAACGACAGATTAGTATTTGATATAGTAATACCATTGATTATTGACACTGAACTTTTATTATACAGGTTAACACCAATACCAATGCGTCATAAGCAAGATAATTCTAGTGGGTGGTACATGATGGACATTACTTACAATAATATTGCTGTAACCAAAGGTTATAAAAGGTTTACAACATACATAGATCAACAATTAAACGAATGTAAAGAAACATCAATATACAAAATATGTAATACAGTACTCCCTCGTTAACACGAACTCGGTTAACACAAATTATTGTATAACGCGAACCGGTTTTTCAGTCCAGAGAAAGGCTCTATACTATAAGATAGGGGTTTTTTTATTTCCTCGGTTTATACGAATTATTTCGTTTAACACGAAACTCGAACAAATTTTAGGTACCATATTGTCGTTTTGTTGATTAACACGAACAGAAAAATGTCAATCTGTACATATATATCTAATTTCGTTTTATTACTCGTATACTAGTCGTTAGTAATTTAATCTTTATAACACAGTTTTATCGATATCTTATCTTATCCCTACTATGTATGTACATATTCTCTATTGTAGGTATTCTCTATATGTGTACATTTGTATGTGTGCAATCTAGTTCGGCGATAATCGCTCTCGTTTAAACTAATAATTGCTCTACCAATCAGTTGGTTAGTTGACTTTGTTGGTGTCGTTAGTGATTGACCAAAATGAGTTTGAAAAGGAAGCAAATGTCTATAGATCTAAAAACTAAGCAACTAATTTTAGTAGAAGTCGAAAAAGGTACACTGCCAAAAACCAAAATCGCGGAGAAATTTGGCATTCCAAAATCAACATTATCAACAATTATTAAAAATAAAGATAAGATTGACGAAGCAGTTGCGCTGGGTTCAACCAACAGTACAAAGCGTCTACGAAAACCCATGCTTGAAGACGTTGAAAAGGAACTTTTGAAGTGGTTCAAAAAAGCCAGAGACTCCAACATTCCACTATCAGGTGCACTTGTGAGGGAGAAAGCAAAGGAGATTTGTACTTCCAATGGCGTTGAGCATATGGCGTGTTCTGATGGCTGGTTATGGAGATTTCAAAAACGGTATAATATTTCTTGTCATGTTTTGAGCGGCGAGGCAAATAAAGTTGCAGATGAAGACGTAAATAAATGGCTTCAAGGGTTTGTAAAGGTGAGGCAATCCTATAGCGAAAATGATATCTTCAATATTGATGAGACCGGTGTTTTTTATAATTTATTGCCCGACCGTTCATTGGATTTTAAAAAACGGCTACACATTTTTTAGTCAATTTCATCAAGTTTTTTTCTCCGATATTTTTCTTGATAACATTTTTAGTGGCTTTAAGTGCTGCTTTAAAACCACAGCCGCCACCTACTTTACGTTTTGCTTTCATGGCAGTAGTCACACCCCAAGCCACAGCTTTTTCTTTTAAACTCGAATCTTTTGACTTGAACCTATCCCAGGCCCGCTGCTCTAATATATAATCGGCTTTGTTACGATCTGCGATAGAGTTGCTGTTCTCGTACGCAATATCGTGATCCCTACAAGCAGAGTCCAGAGGGTTTATACCTTTATCACCACGAGCCAATCGATTTTTTAAATTTGTACCAGGTCCAAAGTATTGATAACCTAAAATATAAAATTAATAGAAAATATAATATTATCGGATTTATAATATAATATACCAGGCACGTGAAGCTCGATCGGTAATTTGTTTATAAGCGTGTTGATCAGGCCACTGCCTTTATTCTTGCTGCTTCTTCGAGCGAGTGACATCGTGTACTGATTACATTCTCATCGTTGCTCAGTTATTTATAATGAAGTTCATCAAACAAAAAATAAAACTATCAGTTAAAAACGTGGACCCGCCTACATCGTTTATGAAACAAAGACACGGGGCGCTCCTACCTAATACGATACGTGCGCTTATCGTGGGTCCTTCTGGCTGTGGAAAAACAAATTTAATTTTCACTTTATTAACCAATATAAACGGAATACGATTTCACAACGTATACATATATTCAAAGACATTGGATCAACCTAAATATAAAATGTTGAGTGATATATTATCAGATATTGATGGTATAAAATTATTTCATTCTATGAAAACGAACAAGTTATTGAACCTGAGAAAGCTTTACCAAACTCTGTGTTTATTTTTGACGATATTATTACTGAAAACCAAAAGATTGCAAGAACTTACTTCTCCAGAGGGCGTCATACCCACACAGCAATTGGAAAATATTAATATTTTCACCATGTGGTATATTGATGGGTCTTGCAATATTTTCCAAGAAAAATTTTAAAAACATTATGAAAATATTTGTTGAATAATATATTTCAATTACATATTACTAGAATATTTTCAAAACTTATCCAGATCAATATTGTATTCGTATGTTGTACAATAAGTTGTGAAAATATTTACCAATAATATATTTCAATACACATATTTTCAGAATATTTTTATTACTTGTCCCGATCAATATTTTATTAGCATGTTGTATGATAAGTTGTGAAAATATTTACCAATAATATATTTCGATACACATATTTTCAGAATATTTCTATTAATTGTCCCGATCAATATTGTATTCTTATGTTGTATGATGAGTTGTGAAAATATTTGCCAATAATATATTTCAATACACATATTTTCAGAATATTTTTATTACTTGTCCCGATTAATATTTTATTAGCATGTTGTATGATAAGTTGTGAAAATATTTACCAATAATATATTTCGATACACATATTTTCAGAATATTTCTATTAATTGTCCCGATCAATATTGTATTCGTATGTTGTATGATAAGTTGTGAAAATATTTGCCAATAATATAACACATTAGATCGAATAATATACTTTTATACAACTTAGGTTATACACTTATACCTATCCGGAATCCAGATAATTGTTATAATATTGTTACGCTTAATCAGTTGTTAGTTGTGACTACCTATATTAATTGCAATAGGTAATATATTTTAAATACATCATTTCATAGATTTCAACTTCACCTTTCAAACTATCTTAGGTTAACTCAAATAGGTATAATTAATACAAACAACATACATTTAGGTTTTTTGCAATACATTTTTCGAGTACTGATAATAAACGATAATATTATGATAATGATAATAACAATATGAATGTTCGTTTTGTTTTGAAAAATAGTACGATAATTAACATTATACAATTATTATTATTATTTAAACTTTTTCGGGCAACTGTATAATTCTCGGTTTTTTTGTCCATGGTGTCTACTGCACCTTTGGTGCAGTTATAAAAAGTGATTATTTCTGGTTTTTTCATTTCTTTTGTACTTTCATCAATCGTTGAGCTATGATGCATAGTAGACAATAGCAAAACAATTTTATTTTTTTTAGGGGTATATGAAACGATTGTAACTTTATCTTCACTAAAACCAAAATAAGACGTGTAAATAGGACGACTTTTTGTAGATGTAAATTCAATTTTAAGCTGTCGTTTGTTTTTTCGAATTGTTCCTACAAGAGTAAGTTTGTAATTATTGAATAGGTCAATTGCAAGTGGTACACTAGTGAACCAATTATCAGTTGTAATATTGCGTCCAGTATTTCTAATTGGTTGTACTAACCGTTTCACTACACTTGATGCTGAGTTATCAAGTTTGAATGGACCATCTGGCTGAACTCCAGCGTATATCTCCAAGTTACTTGTATAGAAATTTATGGCATCACATACAGCAAAAATTTTAATACCATATTTCGCTGGTTTGTTAGGAATATACATTTTAAAACTACAGCGGCCTCGAAAAGCTTGTAGTTTTTCATCGATTGTTATATATTCCGGAACTGAATATGCGTTCTTACAATTATCAACAAAATGTTCAAATACCCACCTTATGTGTGTTATTTTATCCACCTTAGTTCTTTCATCTCTACCACGAATATCATCAAAACGAATACATCTTAGTAAAAATTGAAAACGCTTTTCGGACATCACACATGGTAACAATTCAGCTCCGAGTCCGTCAGTTTTCCACAAATCTAATGTACTTCGATGTCCACCTTTGATAGCTCCTAAACACATATTATTACCAGTAAAACTTTTGTCCCAGGAAAATACGAATAATCACAAATAGTATTAATATTAATAATTATAATGTTAGGATAAATATGTTATAATTACCTATAATGTACAAGCAACCGATTAGTGCTTTTATTTCACGATTGTTGGTATCCAAGGCATCGCGATCTCGAGCAAAGTTAGAACGGACTTTAGCGATATATATATTTGTACATTTTACAATTGTTTCAATTATTGGATTGGAAAAAAATATTTCCCAAGATTCTATTTCTGATTTCGCATTTTTGGCCACACCTTTTACGCCGGATTTTTCAGTTACTAAATTTTGTTGAATAGTGCGAATATTTTGAGTAGGTTTCTTACGAAACCATTTGGTACCATCTTTACCAACGAAATATTGAACTCTCATACTCAAAGGGACATCATCATCTAATTCATTATAACTGTTGTCGAAGTCCTTCTCGTTTACCATTATTTCATCACGTTCATGATCGTATTCTAAATCATAGACAGATTGTTCCGAGTCGGTATCATGGTCAGACCGATTATCATTTTCAACGACATTTTCGTCACCACTAGATTCACCTCCCCAAACTTCAATAATTTGGTCAGTTTCTTCTAAATAGGACTCAATACGTCTTTTTTCAAAATCATCCATGTCTAATGCAATAACGCACAACACGTGCGTATTGTAAAACTAAACTGTAATACTACTAATACGAACTACGAACTAATACAAAAATCATAACACAACTACGCGCGTGGGGTAAATAATTGCCGGATTCGGGTTTCACCTGTAACGGCTGACCGTAGCGGCGACACTAATGACCAAATAATGGTGGAATTATTTGGTAACTATTGACAAACTAAATTTAGGAAGGTATATGAAGTCATTAAGTGATATCTTTTACGATAACGTTGGTATTGCGATAGTAAACTTGTATGGGGTCATTATTTACCCCGCGCGCGTTATCAAAGGTTAACCCCCGAAATACACATTGAGGATGTAATTGAGGACGATTGGAATAAATTGTTAGCTGTAACTTCTGATGAAAATGCTCAAACTTTTTCAAGTTTTATACAAATGGATAATGATCTCGATATCTGCTATGAAAATGCTGGAGAAGATGGAGAAGATGAAAACCCCGAAATCTCAGATCAAGAAATTGAACCTACTGAACCTCCAGTAGATAAACCCTCTCGGGCTGATGTGTTGGCAGCCTTTGATACCCTCGTAAAATTTTCCCAAACCAGTGCAGAGTTAGAACAGCATCAGAAAACAGTGCTTAGAAAACTATGAAGTTACATTCACCCAGAAACCTATCACTGACTTTTTTAAACCGACGTGAGTTTTAAATTAATTTTTTTTTTTGAAAAAATGTATTAAAAATATTTCTTTATATATTTAATGTAGCGTAGTAATTAATTAATTAAAAATATTTCAAATATTTGTTTATATGTAGTATGTACCAAAGAAATGTAAATTTTTATTTTGAAGATTACTTAATAAAAAAAATGTATTTGAGTGTAAATTAACGTATTAGATTTAACCTTCTCTGATAACACGAACAAATTCGTGTTAAACCTATCGGTTTACACAAATTTTTTTAACACGAACATGTTATTTTGTGGTCCCGTCGTGTTCGTGTTAACGAGGGAGTACTGTACACCACAACCTGTACAGGACAACAATGAACGCCAACCATGCGAAGTGCAAAACTTCATGAAATCTGACACATATTCTAATCCTGAATTATGTACAGTAAATAAAATTAATTTAAAGAGAAGCATATACCAAAAATTAAAAAGAAAGAATATATGGATTCATGCAGGAAAAGAGACGTTAACAGTAAGTTGCGCTAACCTAATAGATCCATTCATAATACAAACAAATGAAGTAGGAGAAATAGCTATAAACGACATCAGTTGCCAAGTATTTGCACGGGACGCAGTATTAACTGCCACGGAAGAAATCCAAAATACAAAATATAAAGACTTCACACCTGTAACTAACATGAATAATATTTTAGAAAAAATACCCGAACATATACACAAATTCGAAACAGATGAAAAATGGGAAAAGGGACCAGCTATGCAATTCACAGATTTACACGATGCATCCAAATCTTTAGACGAAGTACAACAAATGATTAACCAAGAACTTTTAAGAGAACAAAATAAAAAACATCAATTTGTACACAGTAATTTGCTAAACGTAACAATAGTACTGGTATAAATATCTATTATACTAATAATAGCAATTTACATAATGATAAAATGCAAGTATATCAGGACCACAGAAGTCATGGAATTTCCCGGCAGAATAGTTAGATATAGGACACCCAATAGAAATGACTACGTACGAAATTATGAAGAGACACCCTTTACTCCACCACCTTCACCAAGATAAATTAATTAATTAATTTAAAAAAATAATAATAATAATAAATAAAAAATAAAATATAAGTTAAAAAAAAAATAATAATATACAATAATAATAATTAAACTAGAGATAAACAAATAATTTAATAAATAAATAAGAAGCTAGGTATATGTAAGCTAATAAAGAAATACTATATATATAATTATGTTTCAGGAAACAATCAAGAGGGATTTCAAAATAAATATAATAAAATATATAAACATGAGCGAACCCACACCAATGCCTGAGCCTAATGTTTTTTATAAGAAACTAAGGGATAGGTTACTAAATGATACATATGATCAATTGGTACTAAGGAACACAATATATGTACGTTGTTTTAGACAACACGTAATAGACGCAAATAATAATATGCAAGTACCTTTTAACGAATCTGAACTTGAAACCATTATGGGTCCGTTAACAGCTTTCTTTTGCACTAGATGTAACCGCGAACCAGCCTATAATTCAATGTGTTTAAAAATCGCAGAAATATTAGATCAATATTATATTCAACACCAAATTTATAGCGAAGAACATATTCGATAAATAAATTAAAGATTTCATTAACAAATAAATAATGAAACGAAATAAAAAAAAAAATAATAATAAAATATAATATTATACGTGCATAAAAGAAATAATACGTAAAAATAATATTCTATAATTTAAATAAAATAATATTACGTGCATAAAAAAAAATAATATAAATATATACGTAAATAATATTCTAAATAATAATTATAAACAATAACTTTTAACTATTTCAGAAATTAAGAAGAAAAACAAAAAAAAATATATAAAAGCACACGTAAAAATTTAAAGTATAAAAATGGGTGAGAACGTACCACCTGTAGCACGAACCGTTCGAATGCAACTACAAACATTTGAATTTCTCAGAGAGTTGAAAAACGAATTAATTGAATCAACCAATCATACACAGATAATGCGAGGGGAAGTAGTCAGATTACATCGCTTCCCGGAACACATAAGAAGGGCTAATAATAACATGACCATACCTTTCAGGCCAAATATCTTAGCACGAGTTATGATCCATGTTAATGACTTTGTACGCACGGTTATCGTAAGACCAAATCATAATAGACCCATGTGTGTAGAGTTGGGTTTACTAATAGAAAAGTTGATCAGGAGGCGTGTGATCGTCGAAACGATTTTCGAAGAATAACCTCAGGAAACATATATTATATACATAGCAAGAAAAGAACCAACCCAAGAAATTGGAGGGGAGTCCTCTTATACTTACAAAAGATGATAAGTTAAGGAGATTCCGCCGATGCGACCTAAAGAAAATAGTGCAGAATATCAAACGAGTATTCCGAGGGAAAAAGGCAAGAGTGATTGAACCATTGCTGGAACAATTATACAAAAGTGTAAGTCACCAGGGGGAATCGACCTTGTCTACGGTATACTTGCAAAGATATTTGCACATAAACGATAGGGAGCCGCTAATAGTATTTTGGAACGGATCATCAGATATCACGATAATTAATCGTTTAAGGTTAACAGGAATTTTAGCATATTTAAACATATCTGCAATTAGCGTTAGGAATAATGATGAATTAATATTAGAATTAACAAACTTAGAGACTAAGGAAGTATTATATTCGGGCTATTTAGGTAAATTAAATAAAAATGGTAGAATGTTAGGACTATCAGAAGCTCATGAACTAGCATGCGATATTAATCATAATATTACACATTGTCATGATCCGGTTGCCGACGTAATTTTAACGAAATTCCTATTCAATTACATAGTAACAAAGATAAAGCCCATTAAATTATATAAATTAGCAAAAAAATATAAAAGGAATTTTAAGGAAAAATAAATTATAATTATTAGTTAATAAATAAATATAACACAAAATAAATTAAATAATGAAAACAAATACATAAATTAACATAAATTATATATTTTAGATTCATTGAGGAGCTAAAAACCATTTTAAAAACAGAAGTACATATTTATAACGTTAAAGAAAATAAATTGCAATCCGTATGCTTTAATTGGTATATACTAAAGGCAAACAAGAAAATAAACATCCATTACGATCATAGAACTTTAAATAAAATAACTAGAAGCCTTGAACTTTTCATAGATGATCATTGTAATGGAGAATGCAAACAATTAATAAAAATAATAGAAAACACTAGAGATCCAACTTACATGATGAATTACCTTAAATAGAACCATAGTTGCATATGTCTATGGCAAATCTAACAATTATTCACATAGATTAGTATATAGGTGGAAGAAGATAATTATTATTATATAAAAGGGGAAATACTTAAATTTTATACTTACGTAACGCTTAAAATGTTATAATTTCAGGTACATATATTATTTTATTGAAGATTATTAATCATTCTTATTAACACTATTTATTTAATTCATGTATTAATTTATTTTACTAACCACAATTAAAATTGTAATATGAATAATAAAAAAACAATAATAATAATAATGATGACATTAAAAATTGTAAAATGTTCACATTATTGTAATCAAATGTAATACTGTAATCAAATTGTTAACTGTATACAAAATTTAAATATCAATGTAAACAATGTAATTCAACCATTGTAAACTATTAATTGACGATGTTAAAGATTCTTAACCCTTAAAGGTTAACAATCTTTTTTTTGGTAGGGAGGTGTAATGGGATTACGTAATAATATCATGTATTTGCTCATAAAAACAACCAGGAATGCGACCACACCCAAAAGTGTTTTCAACTAAGAATACCACTTTCAGTCGTGAGGTCCATATCAAGGACGACTGTACACGCACCGCTCACTTCAAAGGACGCCGCCACCATATATATAGGGGACAGCGAGACAGCCTGAGTAGATGTATCCAGAGACGAGAACAACACACGACTCGCTTAGCCTCCCAGCCATCACACACAACTTACACGGAGATTATCAATTCTGGAACGAGCTACAATTCGCTACAATCAACACAACTGTTCTGCTTATTTTGTCTGGTTTAATATAAAACATTTGATTACTAAACTAATTTGACTATTATTATTTATCAAAGAACATCAGCTTTTGGATCCCTGAAGGGCCGCATGTAACAATGTTGTGTTTTAGGATATAATAAGATAATTAAGTACCGATATCATTTGTATAGAGTCGTCAAAATCAGCGTAGCCGTCTATGATTTCCGTATAAACAGCTTTCCATGCTTCCAGCGTCTTAAATTTATCTTTATACTTTTCACTTGTTTTGTCCCACAGCACTACACACGATTGGTCTGATGTAATCAGCCGATCAATATCAATGTCAAGTGAAACAACATTGCCAAATGAAATTACAAAATTTAAAATGAGAAAATGAAAATGAAATAATATTTTCCCTTGCCGAAAACGTGACCGAACCGAAACTAAACCGTATGTGTGTAAACGACCAATTGCTTTTGTGAACTCTGCACCCGAATGGAAACCGAACGAAACCGATTCGTGTCGAGAGGGCTTTCGGTTCTATCAGTTATCTATTAGATACCGAACACACACCGTATCACCGTTTCACACTTTTCCGGCGACTACCGAAAACGAATTAAATACGGACCGTACCGAACCGAATCGAACCGTATAAGTGTGAAACGAGCCTTACGGTGGCATTTGCGAATGAATTTTATAATTACACGAATAGCACTCGACGAACGTAGAAAAATAAACGGCGCTTCCGAACGACAACTTGTCACCGCCGTCAGCCGGTTGTGAATTGCGAATAGTAGGCGTGACTTAAACGCCCCGCGCTTGCGGATCGTGAAAACTAGAGAGCCTAAAGAGTGGCCAACGGTTCTTATCACGGTTTCATAGGAGTCGCAATTTAAGGTCCACATTGAGGTTATG